TGTGAGAGAAAGGCATTGGAAAACATATTCAAGAAAAGAAGAAACATCGACCCATATTCCAAACGAAGAATCTATAAAAAAGATGGAGTTTATTTACTTTTATAATAGCTACCGTTACCCAAAATTCATCACAAAAATTACATACAGTGTACACGTAGTGTGAATGCCGAATATTTCTTTAAAATCCAATCTATATTGTAATTCTGTAATATTCAATAACAATTAATNATTACATACAGTGTACACGTATTGTAATTGCCGAATTTTTCTTTAAAATCCAATCAATATTGTAATTCTGTAATATTCAATAACAATTAATAATTACCAACTCACCCCTTATTTTCCTCATATTTGTGTAATTTCCCACTCTTAAATGGAACCTTAAGGCCCAATACATTGAAACGTGCGGGTTGGGGCTTTATTCTTGGCTTCCGTTATGTTGTGGTTGTGGGTTGGATTTAAATCTTTCAAGATTTTGTTATACCATTTGAAACAATTGATTGGAATTAAAAATGATTAGACATATGGAATAGAAATCCCACTGGATTTGATTAGAAGTCAATCTTAAACCTTATTCTCTTTTTTAGTATATATAATTATTAAGTTAAATGCTGCTACACAATATTATTAAAGTAATAAACAAATCAATGGGAACATGCTTGAAAGTCGACTCACGACTTACGAGTAGTGTTATTTAGAACATTAGTGGTTAACACCAATCTACTAATGACATTAAATGGTAAGTTCAATTAAATGACTTCCATAATTTCACTTGTAATTGAACATATGGTATAATACCATATAAATTGGTGTTAGATAGCATTATTCCTTACACGTTGGTGTAAAATATTGTTAAAACGTGAAATTTCATTTTAAAAAGTCAACATTATTAAGAGAAACAATCAAATCATTTATAAACTGGTTTATATTTTCATATTTAATCGATGTGAGATATTATCCCCGCAAGATTGATCTGCTCATTTATTTTGAGTTTTAATCAAATCGAATTGTTCGTTAAAATTTTATGGGCTCTGATACCATGTTAAGAATTGAGGTTCCATCTTAAAAGATCACCCTTATTAA